ACATTGGACCCCATTGACTTTCAATTTTTAAAAAATAAAAAATGTCGTCTTTGATGTTCCGCAGAAGAAACAAAATGTTATTCATGTTTTAAAGAAGGATGAGTAAATGATGATAGAAGTTACATTTTTGGGTGAATTGCCCCTTCAAGTGTTATCTTAGAATAAAGCTTTAGACGCACAGATGTTGGCTTACTTTTGGGGCTGAACAATTTAGACCGCTGCTATTGTTCTAGAGTTGTGAAAATAGTAAATACTAGAAGTGTTCTAGAGTTCTCTGGCAGTTCTCATCGTGGCATTTCCATTATCACCCCTCTAAGCTCCCCCTACTATTCACTGGCTCTGTGGAAGGGTCTAATATGTGGAGGGAGATCTAATATTTGGCACAGCAGGACAGACAAGACTCCATCCTCTCCTTCCCCCTCTCATTTTGTGGTTTTGGTTTAGGCTAGGCACACAAGCACCAAGAATGCTTTTGCAGGCACTAACAACTGTGCATGCAAAACAGAGCAACTTACTAAAGGAGAGGTTGAAAGCTCCTAAACGTCATCATAACAATGGCATTGCTTACACGATTAAACTAGGCAGCAAATATGTGATTTGGTTGTCTTTGCATACGATCCTAGTAAGTTAAATATGAAAATTAAACAATGAGGCACTCTATGAAAAGCAAATGAAAAGATTCTTTTCCCGCTGACTTCTGATAGGTCTTTTGCATTGGTTTCCTATTTTGCATAGTTTTTCCATTGTATTTATTTTAAATCCAGGAAGAAAGGTAGTTTTATGCTAATCTTTATGAAATTTTATGTCCTTCCTTTCTGTCTTTTACTTGCATAGAATTTTTTTTATATATTTGAAAGCACATACTAAGTGAGCGGCCAGAGAATCTGAGATAATGATCATGGATTTCAGTACCCCTCCTTAAACAAAATTTACTTCATTAACAGTGTGTCCTCTGCTGTCTGTTTGGGCCAGAGAGGGTTGAGGCTGAGCAGAATGAGGGCACAGGCCCAGGGCTTTAGATCTTCTCCCTCAATAGAGCCTGTGAAGCAAAATAATGCCCATCAGTCTGTGTTTGAGTTAATCAGACTGGATAGGCTGGCGGCTGGGGGGTCAGGGGGTCGCGAGCCTTCACTAAGTGGTCAGAGAGCTGAATGCTGGCCCTCGGAGGGGGAGAGGGGGCCCCAGTCGGCCCCGCGCAGGGAGAGAGGAATGCTGAGGCAGGAGCAGGGGGTGTTAGAGTCAGAGATGACAGATTTGGGCCTGTTAGCGGGGGTCATTGCTTCTTCAGTTTCGAATCCTCTCCTGATAGGATTGGAGGTTTAAAGAATAATATGTACTGTGTACCATCAAAAAGAATAAGGGAGGTGAAATGAGAGTGGTCAAAACATTGACTACTTGTCATGACAACACATTACTGTAGAAAGAAGTGTGCCACTGGGACACCAATGGCTTTCAGAAACACAAAACCTGATGAAACTTTACACAAAAAAAGTTTAAAAATAGTTATTTTAAATAAGTATTATATTTAATATAATTTTAAATTATATTTAATTGTAAGTATTATTTATTTGTTTGTTAATTTAATAGGGACAATGCACATTAATGAACATCTGCATTTAAAAAAAAAGTAAATACCCTGGATTATAGGAACAATGCTGTATTCATTGTTATCCAGCTTTATAGTTATATCAACAACAACCACAATAATAATAATTATATATTTCCAGTTTTTTTTTTAACTAATCATCCTCAAACTTGGTCAAATAAAGAAAAAGAAAAAAAATATTTAGAAAATTTTAAAATGAATTCAATTTTAATATTAATTTTATTTATTTGCAAAACATATTTATTAATTTATTTTATGAATTTGTTTATTTAATAAGGACAATGCACGTTAGTATATCATCAAAATATAAACATGCCAGATTGTAGCAACATTCCTAAAATGATTTCTATTCAGTATTATAGTAATATTAACAACAACAACGACAATTTATAATTATGTTTCTGGGGTTTTTTCGTCAGTCTTTATATCATTATTAAATCATATATAAAAAAATAAGTGAAATATTTTTTTATGATTTTACAATAAATAGATTTTAATACTTTTTCCAACTAAATGGAAAAATGACTGTAGAAGCTCTTTTCTTTGAAAAAGTATAAATATATAAATATTGGTTTTATGTTTTGTGTACTTTGTTTAGTGCACTTTTTTGAAATTCAAGTTTGTTTGTTTTCCTTCACAGATGTCAATGTGTCTTCCTCCTCCCTGGCTCAGAATCACTGGTGTAACGTGGCATACTGGGAGCTTCGTACACGCGTGGGCCGTCTGTACCCAGTTCATGACGCCTCTCTTAGCATCTTCTATGACCTACCTCAGGGTACAGGCTTGTGCTTGGGCCTGCTCCCCCTCTCTCCGCGTTCCACCTCCGTCCAGCGTACCCGTGGCAAGATCGGACACGGCATCCTCCTCAGCAAAGAGCCAGATGGAGTATGGGCCTACAACCGCAGTCAGCACCCTATATTTGTGAATTCCCCAACTCTGGAACATCACCCCTACCTGAGTTTGACTGTGAGGAGAGTCATGCCAGGCTACTCCTTAAAAGTTTTTGACTATGAGAAATCGTGCCAAATTCAACCCCGCAGCGATTTGGTGCACATGGAAGGGCCATACGACCCGAACAGTGTGAGGATCAGTTTTGCCAAGGGCTGGGGGCCATGCTACTCAAGACAGTTTATTACATCATGCCCATGCTGGTTAGAGATTTTACTGAACAACCACAGATAGCATATACATATCAACAAATGCAGACATATACATCGCTCTTACCACACCCTGCACACACTCACTACACCCGCAGCCACAATCCCAAATGTAATCTATCTAAATTTAATATAAAGTTTTATATAAACATATTATATGGAATACTTGTAAATACTGAATCATTTTTACAACATAATTATTTATGTATGGTGCAATGTCTATGGATGGACAGAGGAAATAAAAACAAAAGAAATACACTTTGGAATTCTGTGTGTTACAATGTGCCATTTTTGGAATTTATATTGATTCTTGTAATATTGTACTACTTTGATTTTATATATATATATATATATATATATATATATATATATATACACACACGCGCGCGCGCTCT